TCGGCCGCGCGCGCGTCGAACGCTGTCCGCAACCTTCATCGCCGACGCAAGGGCGCCGTCGTCGTCGCCGTCGGCGCGATCAGCGCCCGCGCCGTCACTGGCCGCGGTCGTCGCCGTCAGCGCCGTCGCCGGCGTCCCAACTACCATCGCCGCGTCTACCATTGTCGACACTGCCGTGGTATCGCGCCCGCCCATATCGCCGACTCGCACCGAAATGCCCGCTGGGATGCGCCCGGCGGCCAGCGCCCCCGCGGCCGCGTCGGTCGCGCCACCGCGCGCGCGCGGGCGGTCGCGGCCGCAGAGATGCACCAGCCAGCGCCAAACACTCATCGCAATCGCCGCCGCATGGGGTTGCCAACCAAGTCGCGGGTGGACGGGCGGGATGTCTGCGCGAACAGTGGGGCGGGCAACTTCAATTTGAGCATCGGTTCGTCTACATGTCTCCCCTTTTTTCCCGAGAAACGGATCCCCCCACCCCCCCGGCTTTATCGGTTCACCTTTCTGAACTGCAGTATGCATCTGGCGCTGGCCCGTCGCCCAGCCTAAATATGAACTCATGCCATCCAAGCCCAGCCAGCATCAACCCCCGCCCCGCCATCCTCTGCAACAGATTTTATATCCGCGCGCACTCGTGTATCACAATTCATTACTTTTCAAGATTCCCTTTTGAAGTTGCCACGACGTGCACGCGCGCGCGTCGTCGCGCGCGCATGCCCGAATCCTTCAAAAACCGTCGGTTTCGGAAGGATTTCCAAATCGCGCCCAACATCATTTTGAAAAAAAACATGGTTTCGCAACGCGGATGTTCAAACCAACAAAAACAACGCGCGCGCTCTTGCGCATTCTTACGAATCCAATCGGCGAATTCAGCACTTTTTGGAAATGCCACCACACGGGCTTCGCGCGCGCGCATGTTGAAATCGTTCGGGCGCCCTTGCGCGCGTGCCGTCGCGAGAATCCATGACGAATTACGGAACGACGTGCACGCGCGCGCGTCGTAACGCGCGCGCACCGAAATCCTTCAACAAACTTCGGTGTTATAGCGGTGTCAAAACCGAATGCCAAAACAACCTTAAAACAACACATTGCTTCGCAACACGGACTTTCAAAAAAGCGTGCGCGCGCTCTTGCGAATTCTTTAGGAAACCATGAACTGTTCAACGTCTGTATGAAATTATGCCAAGCGGGCCTCTGGCGCCGCATGCTGACATCATTCGCACGCCCGTGCGCGCGTGCTGGGGGGACACGGTCCGTGTCAAATAAGTCCATGCGGGCCACTCTCGCGCGTCGACCGCGCGCATACCGAACTCTTTCCGCAACCTTCATCACCGACGCGAAGACGCCGTCATCGTCGTCGGCCGTGGTCAGCATCGGCGCCCGCACTGGCCGCGCTTTCGTCATTGCGAACATCGCTACCAACATCGCTACGATCATTATCGTGTCTTTTTTAGTCGGCGTTGCCGTGATACCGCGCCCGCCCAAATTGCCGATTCGCAGTGAAGTGCCCGCTGGGATGCGCCCAGCGGTCAGCGCCACCGCGGCCGCGTCGGTAGCTGGCCGCTGCGTGCGGCCGCAGATGTGCACTAGCCAGCGCCGAACACTCATCGCAATCGCCGCCGCATGGGGTTTGCTAACCAAAGTGCAGGTGGGTGGGTGGGATGTTTGCAAGAGCGTGGGATGTGTCAACTCGTTTGTTAAAATCAATTGCACCACATAGATTGCGCCGCACTGATTGCACCGTATATTTTTTTTACATTGATTCTCCTGTCTAAAAAGAGAATAGACTCTACCCCCCGCACTTATCGGCTCCCCCTGGGATAGTATAATTTCATATATATATATATATATATATATGTGTATGTATTCTGCACACTCGTCCATCCTAAATATGAAATCGTATCAGCCCAGCCAGGCCTGTTCCCCCCCCCCCCCCTGAGGTCCCTTGCAAAACGCACTATGCGGTGACATTTTGAGTTGTAACATAACACTTTTTCACGAATCCCTGGCAACAAATGAAACGAAGTGCACACGCGCGCGTCGTCGCGCGCGCATGCCGAAATCCTTCAAAAACCTTCGGTGGGTGAAGGATTTCGCAATCGACCTTCCAAACAACAGGCAACACACACATGGTTTCGCAACACAGAATTGCTAAAAAAGCTTCCGCGAAAACTCTTGCGAAATCTTAAGAAAACCATGGGATTTTCAAGATTTTCACAAAATGCTACCAAACGGGCTTCGAGCGCGCTCATGTCGAAATCTATCGAACGCCCTTGCGCGTGTGCCGTCGCGAGAATCCCCTGCAGAAAAATACGACTAAGTGCAGACGCGCGCGTCGTCGCGCGCGTATGCCGAAAACCTTCAAAAACCATAGGTTTCGGAAGGATTTCAAAATCGTGTGTCCAATAAACCTGCAAAAACATAAGGTTTCGCAACACGGATGTTCAACAAAAGCGTGCGCGCGCGCTCTTGCGTCGTCGTCGTCGTCGTCGTCGCCGTCCTCCCTCCTCCCGCGTCGTTGTCGTCGTCGTCGCCTACGTCGTCCTCTGTCTTTCCTCGTGTTCGTCGTCGTCGTCCTCTTTGGCGTCGTGGTCGTTTCCGTCGTCGTTGTCGCCGTGGTCGTCCTTCCTCCTCCTCCCGTCGTCGTCGTCGTCGTCCGTCGTCGGCGTCTCGTCGTCGTCCCTCCTATTTCGTCGCCGTCGTCGTCGTCGTCGTTTCGTCGTCGTCGTCTTCCCTCCTCCCTCGTCGTTGCCGTCGTCGGCGTCGCCGTCCTTCCTCCTTCTTCGTCGTTCGCGTCGTCGCCGTCCTCCCTCCTCCCTCGTCGTTGTCGTCGTTGTCGCCGTCGTCGTCCTCCCTCCTTCCTCGTTGTCTTCGTTGGCGACGTCGTCGTCGTCTTCGTCGTCGTCGGCTTCGGCGTCGTCGTCGTCTTCGTCGTCGTCGACGTCGTCGTCGTCGTCGCCTACGTCGTCCTCTGTCTTTCCTCGTGTTCGTCGTCGTCGTCTTCTTTGGCGTCGTGGTCGTTTCTGTCGTCGTTGTCGCCGTGGTCGTCCTTCCTCCTCCTCCCTCGTCGTCGTCGTCGTCCGTCGTCGGCGTCTCGTCGTCGTCCCTCCTATTTCGTCGCCGTCGTCGTCGTCGTTGTCGTCGTCGTCGTCGTCGTCTTCCCTCCTCCCTCGTCGTTGCCGTCGTCGGCGTCGCCGTCCTTCCTCCTTCTTCGTCGTTCGCGTCGTCGCCGTCCTCCCTCCTCCCTCGTCGTTGTCGTCGTTGTCGCCGTCGTCGTCCTCCCTCCTTCCTCGTTGTCTTCGTTGGCGACGTCGTCGTCGTCTCGTCGTCGTCGTCGTCGGCGTCGGCGTCGTTGTCGTCTTCGTCGTCGTCGACGTCGGCGTCGTCGTCGTCGCCGCCGTCGTCGTCGTCGTCGTCGTCGTCGTCGTCGGCGTCGTTGACGTCGTCGTCGTCGTCGGTGTCGTCGTTATCGTCGTCGTCGGCGTCGTCATCGTCGTCGTCGTTGTCATCGTCGTCGTCGTCGGCGTCGGTGTCGTCGTCGTCGTCAGTGTCGTCGTCGTCGTCGTCGTCGTTGTCGGCGTCGTCGAAGTCGTTGGAGACGTCGTCGGTGTCGTCGTAGTCGTTGTCGGCGGCGTCGTCATCGTCGTTGTCGCTGTCGTCGTCGGCGTCGCTGTTGTTGCCAAGTGCCATGTGGTACCCACCGTCACGGTCTTAAGAGATTTTGCAAACCAAGTTGCGGGTGGGTGGGTGGGATGTTTGCGCGAGCAGTGGAGTGGACAACTCACTGCGAACAGAAATTAGTTGCACCGCGTAGACTGCACCACAAACCTACTGTTGGGGCCCACGTTCGCTAACAGTATTTACACGGTTTCGTGCCCCGCCTAGCCCTCCAGGGAGGCCCCGCCAAAGCCAGGAGGTACCGGAGCACCCTATCATTTATCAAATTTCGCACCCCTCCCACCGCTCCAGGGAGGCCCCGCCAGAGCGAGCGAGGAGGGTATCGGAGCATCCTATGATTTATCAGGTTTCGTGCGCCTCCCACCGCTCCAGGGAGGTCCCGCCAAAGCGAGGAGGGTACCGGAGCACCCTGTTATTCATTAGGTTTAGTGCCCCTCCCACTTCTCCAGGAAAGCCCCGCCAGGGCGAGGAGGGTATCGGAGCGCCGTATTATTTATCAAGTTTCGTGCCCCTCCCACCGCTCCAGGGAAGCCCCGCCGGAGCGAGGATGGTATCGGAGTACCATATTTTTTCTCCGGTTTCGTGCCCCTCGCACCCCTCCAGGGAAGCCCCGCCGGACAAGGAGGAGATCGGAGTACCCTATTGACTATAAGGTATCAGAATATCATACTATTTACAAAAAGGTTTCGCGCCCCTCCAAGGAGGGGTGGCAAAGCGATGAGGGCATCATATATAGCACTCTTTACAAGATGTTCGCCCTGCTTTACAAAAGGAATGGGGGTGCGTCCTGAACAGCCATCCTCCCTTTCGTGTCGTGTCGACCGCGGCGTTGGTTTCTGACACTGCGTGGATCGTTCAACCTGAAACGATCGGCGGCTTTTCGATCGCCCGATCGTTCCATGCAGGCCGATTCTGGGCCACTGGCGGCGTTCAACCTCGAACGTCCGCGACGGGGTCGCCGCCGGTCGACACGACGCGAACCTACCGTAATGTCTCCTTCTCTCTCTCTCTCTCGCCGCTCCCTCCCTCGCCGCCTTCCTGCGGGTGATCTAAAACGGAGTCCAGCTGCAAGGGGGCGGTGCAATAGATTTGGGGCACTTGTATTGCAAATGTATTGCGCCAGAGAATAGCACGGCACTGTGTTGCAAGTACGTAGTGCATTGCACGACAAAAATCCAGCAATACATCTGCGCCCCAGAATGTACTGCACGCCCCAAATGTCTTGCAACCCCACAGATCTGATGCACCACCCCCTTGTCGCTGGACCCCCTTTTGGGTCAACCCGACTCCCGCCCCCCCCTGGCGCCCAGCGCCGAGCGCCACGCGATCTCCGTGCCGTCCTTGCGGGCGTGGGCGCGGGAGGCAGCCGCGCGGCGCGGGGGGAGCGCCTGAGGCAGGCAGAAGGCCGCCGCTCACTGCGCCCTGCACCGCGCCAGCGCACCAGGCAGCTCCCCCACTGAGGCGAGGCGAGGGCGGGGACGACATCGGACCGGGATGCCTCGAAGGAGGAGGACCCTCCCTCCTCCCCCCCCCTCCTCTTCGGGCTCCTGTCTGCTCTGCTCCCGCTTCCCTCTCCTCCGGTCCTGAGCCTCCCCTCGCATCCACATCCCTCCTTCCTTTCCCTGTCCTCGACTCGCGCCACGAGACGTGTCGTCAGGGCGAATCTCTGAAACCCGGCGGCTCTGGAGGGTGTGCTGAGCACCGCGGGCCTGCCAGAGCGCTCTGAAAAGCTCTGAGAGCGCCCTGGAGCGCCCTGGAGCGATTTCTACCAATCCTGGGCCTGACTGGACCCGTCCCAGGACCGCCCCCCCAGACCTTCCTCAGTGCCAATCATCAGCCCTCCAGACCGATAGAGCTATCTGTATAAAGCTTCAAACCTCGACAGGAATTGTGATGCAAAGGTCCTGGCGTTCTTTTGGTAGAGGAAGGCGAAGGAACAACACATAAACATAAATTTCTGGCGCTCTGCCAGATTTCCTGGATCTTGAAACCATTGGCGCCCTGGCGCGGGGAACGCGCCAGGGGCGGCGCTGGAGGCGCCGTCAGGGGGGCCCAGCGCGGATCCAAGAAATCCGCACCGACCGTCGAAAGTGGATGCTTATGCAGTTTTTTTGTGCTTTCGATGTCCAGATCCTGGTGCTTCTCCCCAATCAATGCTTGCACTGAAGGGGTCCGAACGGAATTTGAAACATTTGGCGAACATGTCCCGCCGATTTTGGTGGCCGGCTGGGTTCCTGGATTCCCGGTTCCAAGTTCCCGGGTTCCTGGTTAATTACTGGTTCCGGGCCGATTTCGGTGGGTTCCGGGTTCCCAGGTTCCCGGGTTCCCGGGTCGATCTCTTTATCGAAAACCATCCACTGATTGAGGTTTTTTCTCTGGTGCTTTTTCTGGTAGCCCTCCTGAGAAGTCGGGGCCCGGGCCCTGGCGCCCAGAGGCGCTCGGGACGTTTCCGTGCTGCCTTCTCCGCGCCTCTCCGGAGCAAGCGCAGCTCCGGCGCCCTTGGGGCCTCCCTGGGGACCCACTGGCTGGGCGGCGAACGAGGGGGGCAAGCGAGCAGGAGAAGGCCTTCTCTAAAAGGGAACCTGGGACACACACACACACACACACACACATAAACGCACACAAATCCCAGGATTCCCCTATGCTTTCCTTTATTTTCTGGGTTTTTGTCTTCCCCCCACTTCCCATATTTTCCCGTAGTTTCCTGGGAATTGACAATTAATTCTGTCTGTGTGTGTTTTTGTCCCCTCCTGATTCTCTCGGGGATGGACAGATACCCCTTTCGCAGAACGTGGCTTAGTGAAAACGACCTCGGGCCCAAACCTGGCGGGCGCAAGCCTGGAAAATGGCGGGCGCGGCGCCCTCTCGAGAACCGAAAACGGACAATGTACTGATCGACGTGTCAGGGTGGGGGTCCTGTCCGCCCCCGATTCTCAAAAGGCTCGGAAGCCCCCCCGCCTTCTGAGGAGTTTCCGAAGCCTTCCCCGAAGACAGAAAAAACTCCTCGGGAGGCACGAGGGCGTCTGAGAAGTCCCGCCGCCTTCTGAGAAGGTCTCCTCCCGCTCACTTCCCCCCCTCGCTCGCCGCCGCCCCGCGGGGGGCCTCTTGGGGGGCCGTGTGGGCTGCCTCGGGGCGCTCGCGCCCCCGCCTGGCGCCTCCGGAAGCCGTCTCGGGAGCCTCTCGTGGGGCCTTCGGGGCGCCTCTCGGGAGGCCTCCTCCCCGGGGAGCCTCCCGGGGGCCTCCCGGGGAGGCCTCCTGCAGGGGGGCCGCGTGCACTGGGCTGTCTCGGGGCGGTCCTGGGAGCCGCTCGGGGGCTGTCTTGGAGGCCTCCCGGGCGCGGGACGGGGCCGCCGCTCTGCGCCCGCGCCCTGGGGCTGCCGAGCGGACCAGGCCGCAGCGCCGCCCCGGCGGCGGCCTCCCCGGGCGAAGGCCTGCCCGGTGCACCGTACAGTGCTGCTCCCCAGCGAGGGTTTTTGTTTCCTCGGCGTTGCGGCATTGGGCGGGAAAGGGGGGGAGGGGGGAGGGGGGGGTCTGGCTCCAGACCTCTGCTTGATGCGACTGCTCGCGGCAAAGCGTCCCCGTGGGGGAGGGGCTCCACCTGCTCGGAATGGGCGCCCCAAACCACAGATCTACTCCATGGAGGGGGGAGGGGGGGGGGTGCGAGGGCCCGCGCCGATCGGCAGGAACAATGAATAAAAAATGATCACCTTGCGTTTAATGCAGAACTTGTTGAACCGCTCTGCGTCCGAATCCAATGTTCAGCTGAAAACATTCGGGGCATCGGTGCCACCTCGACATAAAGACCCCGCGTTCGACATGTCTTGTCGCTGCACACATCGCCCGCCACGACCCATGATGTTGGTCTGCAGATATCGTGGGAGATCGCTGCCAGTGTTACCTTTCACGTTCCTTTCTTCACGAACCTCCGGACACAGACGCAGTGGTTGACTGTGTCACACGCCTTGAAGATGCCGGCGTCTAGCACGTAGATGGGCGGCAAAGCGGCAGTTCGGTCAATATGTGTTTCACGTAAACTCCTTATCATGAAAAAAAACGTCCAGTGCCTGGCATTTAGGCCGACAGGCAAACTGGGCCTGGCTCAGACTGTCGAGCACGTCTCTCTCAAGCTCCATGAGACAAGCCAAGTACACTTAAATCAGAGCGCGAATGATAGTTAGCAGTCTCAATTTCGATGGGTGCGTGGGGTTTATTTCCTTTGCGCTGCACGGTCACGTCTCCCCATGCTTCCTCAGCGTCCTCGGACTAGTGGTTGAGAGTCCGTAGTTCGAACGCATGTGGCAACGCGTCAGAAGTATACTGTGAACGAGCAGGATGAGGCGGAGGAGGCGGAGGCGGCGGAGGAGAGAAAGGAGGAAGAGATACAGGAACAGGAGGAGGAGGAGGCAGCGGAGGAGAGAAAGGAGGAAGAGAGAAAGGAGCAAGAGGAGGAGGAGGAGAAGGAGGAGGAGGAGACAAGCGTAAGAGGAGAGTCCCAGGAGGGGGTGGAGGAGGAGGAGGAGGAGGAGGAGAAGGAGGAGGAGGAGGAGGAGGAGGAGGAGGAGGAGGAGGAGGTGGAGGAGGAGGTGGAGGAGGAGGAGGAGGAGGAGGAGGTGGAGGAGGAGGAGGAGGAGGAGGAGGGGAAAGATGAGGGGGAGGAGGCAGCAGGCGGCAACGAGCGCGCAGGCGCGGCACGGGGGGGGCCGGCGAGGGAGGCGGCGCCATCCGAGCCGCGGCTTTTCCCCCGGCGCTCCCACGCCGCGGTCGCGCGCGAGGCCCGCCGCCAGCAGCAGCCTCTCCAGCGCCCCCTCGCCCGGCGCGGCTTGGCCGGGTGGCAACGCCGCGAGGAGGCGCCCGCGGTTGCCCTCCGAGTACACGTCGCCGCTGCGGGCCGGGTCGAAGGCCGCGCGGAGCAGCGCGCGCAGGTGGTCCGCGGGCGGGGGCGCGCCCGCCACTGCAAGGCCCTCGCCGGCTACGACCACCTTGGCCAGGCTCTCGAGCTCCAGCGCGGCCTCGTCGCCGCGGCAGGCGAAGGCCTGCGCGGGGGACTCGAGGCCGAAGGAGTCCGCCCAGCGGCGGTAGGCCTCGCGCTGCGCGGCGTCGAAGCCAAGCGCCAGCCGCCGCGAGCAGACCAGCGCACGGTTGATGCCCTCGAGCATCAACACCCACTTCGCCCACTCTGGGGCGCTCCCCGGCTGCTGCATCACGTGCCACAGGAGGACGAAGTTCAACCGCGAAGCGTCGTGCTCCATGGCGTAGCTGCGGGGGTCCGGGTCCAGCAGCCCACCGTGCAGGTGCTGCACAACGTGCAGGACCTCGTGGCAGGGGATGAGGTAAGTGCCGAGGAACTGGTAAAGCAGCGTCTGCCCCTTGCAGGCGTGGCCCATGGAGGCCTCGAAGTGCCTGAAGTGGCGATCGGCGAAGCCTGGGACATCGGGCATCGTGATGCACTTGCCCGCGCCGTCGGCCTGCCAGCAGACCTCGTAGGGCGTGGACCACTCCTCGCCGAACATGACGGCATGCTGGACGGAGACGTCTCGCAAACTTGAAATGTCCGCGGGCCCCAAGAATATACACCACCACCACCACCACGTCGATTCCTGATCCCTCGTCTACCCTCCTATTCCTTTCCTCTTTCCTGGGAAAGGGAGGAGGTGAGCGAGGTGGTGGTGGTGTAGATGTTTGGGCCCCGTGATGTCGAACAGGTCCCCCATCAGGTCTTCCAGCACCCGGGCGATGTCGACCACGGCGCGGCGGAGCCAACCCAGCCAGTCGATGCCCGCACCCTCCAGAGGGCTGCAGATGCTCGCGAGCAGCGCCCTGGCGTCGCTCCCGCAGAGGGGCGCCCCGCTGCGCCAGCGGAGGGCGCACCCCTCGCCGCCCGGCTCCCGCGCCGCCGCCACGGGCCCGACGTGCAGCTGCACGCCGAGGGGCTCGAGCTCGGATCGCACGGCCTCCTCCGCGGACTCGAGCGCCCGCGCCGCCCACCACGGCAGCTCCCCCGGCTCGGGCCCGTGGCCGGTGAGCCATCCCAGAGGAGGCTGGCGGCGCGCACCAGGGAGGTTGTTGGGCAGGAGGGCAGGCTCCTTCGAAGGAGGCTGCCTTTTGGCAGGCGCGGGCGCTACGTCTGCAGACAAAGGCCCGCGCCTCCTGAGAAGCAGGGTGCTTCGAAGAAGCCTTCCCCCTCCCCTTTCCCCCCCTGCGCGCGCCGCCGGCACAGGTGCGAGGAGCGAGCAGTACCCGAAGGGACCCTCCAGAGGCCCAGGCGGTGGCGGAGATCGGCCGGGGCCTCCGTGCCACTCTGTGCCCCCCCAGATGGCACACCGGAGCGACGGCAAAAAGCGGTTCTCACGCGAGGAGACACTCGGCGGCGAGCACGGGGGGGAATCGAGAGGCGGTGGACCGTCCTAGAAGGCTTGGGAGGCTTTGGGCCTTCCTAAGCCTTGCCCGAAGACGCGGTAAGCCTCTCAGAAGGCCGGCGGACTTCTGAGAAGCCCCGCCGCCCGATGAGAAGGCCTTTTCCTTCTCACTGCCCCCCCTGGGCGCGCCGCCGAGGCACAGCGAACTTGCGCCGCGGCTTATGCGGGCCGCCAGCGTGGCACACCGTATGGATAGTAGGGCGCTTACGCGCAACGTTACGCGGGAAGTTGACACGCAGGTGTCCGTCGCTCACTTGGCTTCTCCTGATCGCCCATTGCCTTTCCCGTGGGCCACGTCGGCGCGCTGTCTTGCGCTGCGCGAGGAAGTCCAGAAACGTCCCAGCACACTGTCGGCACATCCGAACTTGGTACGGACAGGGCACGATGCCCAACAACAAATGTTGTCCAGCATTGACGGCGGCCGCTGTTGGGCAAGCGACCTCCCGTCTCAAATGGACAACGTCCGCGGCCACACTGCGGGGGCGCGCACAGGGGGGTAGCGGGGAGGGGGGAAGGCTTCACAGAAGGAGGCTACTTCTCAGAGGGCGCCAGCCCGTCGCATACAGACAGGGCCCGCGCCTTCTAAGAAGCAGAGATGTTTCCAAGAAGCCCTCCCCCTCCCCCCACCCCCCTCTGTGCATGGCTGACAAGATCTGCCGTCCGACTTGGTCGGCCACACGCAAGAGTGACCCTGGTTAAGAGTGACCTTTGGTGCGCGGCGTTTTGGAGGCCGCGGGGGGACCAAACCCAAGCGCGCAGGACGTCACTGCCGCCTGGCCTTCGGCGATCGGGGGGCCCCAATGGGCCCGCACCAAAGGTCGCTCCGGCGAAAGATCACTCCTACGTCTAAGGTCGACTTGGGGCACCCTCCTTCCCGCACCCGCTCTGAGCGCACCGGGTCCAGGGGGGGGAGGACATCCGAAACCCCAGGGGCGCCCAATGAATTTTGTTTTGCTGGTCCATGACCCCTCTGGGCTGAATGCGATCGATTCCCAGTGACATTGTCCCCGAACGACGTTGCGTCAGGGAAGCTGGATGGACCACTGAGTGGCAGCCAGCCGACGGGCGGATCGGAAGACACCGTGTGACTGAGATGCGGGGAAGAGGCCGCCGGCCGGGTCCACCGCGGGAGGCCCGGGGGCACGTGGACTCTCGTCGCCGCGGCGCGGCAGGGGCGGTCCGCACGGGCGCTCGCGTTTTTTCGGGGGCCTCCGGGGCAAACGGAGAGGCCCGGGGGGCGAACGAGACAACGGGGAGGCGCACCCGGCCGGGAGCCTACAGGCCTCGCGCCGACCGACCGTCGGGGACGCACCACAGTCGGGCTGCTGAAAGAAGGAACGCTAAATAAGGAACGGAGCCCCTCATTGGCCCTGTAAGCGCCTCCGTGCCCCAGGAGGGCAAGACGAACAGCACCGCAGGAACCTGAGGAACAGCGAGCCCCTTCCGAACCCAAACTGTTCCTTATTGCAGCGTCTTGGCTGTAGAGGTCGGCACAAACCCGGGTCGGTCAGGGCCCCGTGGCGAAGCCTGGCCTGCCGCTCAGTGGCTCCCAGAGGAGGAGGAGGAGGAGGAGGAGGAGGAGGAGGATTTGAGCACTTTGGCTCTCGCTGCATGCTTAAAGCACACTGTAAGTGTCAGAGAGTAAGGTGACCCCTTTCGCTTTGGGATGGAGTCCCTTACAAATCTTATTCCAAGCTTCAGAGTTGTAAACCGAAACTTTCTGACCTGGACAAGTCTTGTTGAGAGATGCAAGGCGGGCTCCACTAGTGCATCTCTGGCACACAGTACAAACGACAACAAACGAACCGTTCGAACAATCCAGGAGGATACACTTGTGGTTTAAATCTCTAAGCCGCCGAACATCCACTCTCATAGAATCGGAACAGTGTCCAGGGGCAGGCTCTTTGTCGGCGGCGTTGCGCGACGTCCTGAGGCACCCTTGACAGATCCAAAAACGTTGGTCCCCTCCAGGAGGCCCGAGCCACTCCCACCGATGAGGCGAGGCAGAGGAGGAGAAGGAGGAGGAGGAGGAGGAGGAGGAGGAGGACGAGGACGAGGACGAGGAGGAGTGGGAGGAGGAGGAGGAGGAGGAGGAGGAGGAGGAGGAGGAGGAGGAGGAGCATAGGGAGGAGGGGGAGGAGGAGGAGGAGGAGGAGGAGGAGGAGGAGGAGAAGATGGCCTCAACACGGCCTCGGGTGCCCCCGAGGCCAGGGTCAGCGGAGGAAGGAAGGGGGGGAATCGGGCCCACATGGTTCCCACACCCGGGTCAGCCAGAAAGGATTGGCTGAGCCGCGTTAGCGCTGACCCCCGTTCCCAGACACCCTACGTCGTGAGTTGTCCGTAACGTCAACCCCCCGAAGTCTCGAACCATTCCCAGGTACGAGTCTTTCTTCCCAGGCCGTTGTTTGA